TATATATATTGTTTTGTGATTTCACAGATTTCAACACTGTTTTGAGAGATGTGCTCATATAGATATCATATATTAGACATCCTGGCTCATTTATAGCAGCACTTAATCAGTGAAATACTTAAAAATAGATACAGGATGGTTAGCAACTATCAGTCAACATGGCAGTATTACAGCACACGCCAATGCAAACACCTCTGACCTTGTTATTGTCCTGCGGTTGTTTTCCGTTTCCAGTTTTCATAGTAGAGAAGCAGTTGAGCTGACATTAGCATGGCGCTCCCAGAGTTAGCGTTAGTATGGTGGTGGTCTCTCATTAAAGTGGTTGTCATACCTTGGCGGACCTTGCAGCGCTTTCTTTCTGGCAGCATGGCTCCATTTAAACTTTGACCGCACGCCTGTGAAATGATAGGATAAAAAAAGCCCAATTCCACCTTTTCGCTAGTTCCTTTCCTCCCCTGTTGCTCATTGCTGGCTGTTGCCCAATGAACACACAGGAGTTACCGACGATACTACTTGAGGTTCCGTTCCATTTAGTGTAGCAGAGCCCTTCCAGAGCCAACATCATCAACATGTCCTGGCCAACATGCACAAAGCAGCACTCTGAATCTGAATGGGATGGGCCCTTAATTAGTCTCACTGCTAACACCTGTGTTATTGTAGCTGCCTGGTGTCAGCTGTTAGCAGCTTGGTGAGGTTAGCTAACATTAAACATACATTTCAGTGTGTTATCTAATGCTAGCTAACTAACTGTAATTTATTAATAATAGCCTGCGTAGGAGGAAAATGTATTTTGTGCCTGTGTTTTTAAATGAATCTACAGTTTTTAATGTGTGTTGCATTGACCTCCATTTTTTCCTTTTCTTACCTTATTGTTCCAGTTGGTTTGATTTGAATTCATGCAGGTCCTACGATGCACCCTGACTGTACAGTAACGCCAGGGTCAGAGTGGAGATGACTTATGTTGCGTTCAAACACGGACACCAAGTGATAGGCTGTGTCTGGCCTGTCGTGAAGCTGTAGCTCTCGTATTTGTGTTTCAAGGAGGATGTCATATCCTCGTAATAACAGTTGTGTTCTGATGCAGACACCGCGCTGAGGAAGGTAGTTTTTCTTCCACAGTTAGTTTTAGATGTGGTTGTCGCTCGCTTTGAGTCGGAGGACATTTGCATAAAGTTGAGCTTTTCTCAACTTTTCTCTGTGGTGCCACAGAGCGCCTTTTGAAAATCTGGAGCTCAGCGGGCGGCCATTCACCGTGAATAGCAGCCTATCGCTC